AAACGAGGTTAGTCGTTCGTTCTGTCGTTCCATATAGGTCAAGCTCAGAAGTCATTTTCAGGGAATTCATGAGTTTGATTATGTCACTCCGCGCGACGCGTTGCGTGAAGCACTATTCGACGGTGGGGCTGAGGGACGCGCTACAGTACAGTTATGGCAACAACTTGGCGCAACGGAAGTGCTCGTCCTGGCTCTTTCTGTGCTGACCAGCGAGTTAGCTGTGGATGAACGAATCAAGGAGAAGGTTATTGCTGCTTCTTGTTAGCCATCGTTAGAAGCCCACCTTATTTTACATGGATTCCTAATATTGCTCTGCCAGGCTTCTGCGATTGGGCACTCTAGGCCGCGTTCATACTTTTTGACTAAAGAGACTTGACAACTATGGAGATTGGGCGACGGGACGGCATAGGTGATCTGGCGACTGGGGAGAATGGGCGATACTGGGCGGATCGGCGTTTAGGGCGATCGCGTGCCAGAGGAGTGGATGGGTCGATCGGTGCCGGTCGTAACCGTTAGGAGATTTGGAGATCCGGCGCTGGCTTTCCTCCTCAGTCACCAGATCGATACATATACTTCTCTTGGAATCTCTCAAATCGCTGAACCTCCTCAGTCGCAAAATATGAACGCGGTCTTGTGTTGTACTCAATTTATATGAATCTTAAATCTTATGAATTTATCTGAAGCTGAAATCTCTTTAATGAAGTTTTGCGCTACTGCAGGCTGCATCGATTTTCTACAGCTTCAAAGATACTCCTGAACTTGTGGATGTTGAACAGACCCGTGGATTGGACAGCACGTGGTCACCAGGAGACAGCATTGCTGAATGGAAGCACAAGATGCGATGTACTGAATCAGCTCTTCTGTTCCGCGTGTTTTAATTAAAAGTCACTTATGTTGTAGTCTTGTCCGACTGAAGGTAAAAACCTGTTATTCAGCACCGTTGCAAGCGTCAACTCCACGTTTCGAGAGCTATGCACCCGCGGTGGTCTCATCACCGTTTTCGCCAACCAGTGAGTTGCAGAACAAATGTC